AAGCCCAGCTCCCTCAGCCTCTCCTCGTAGGAGAGATGCTCCAGTCCCCTCACCATCCTCGTAGACCTCCGCTGGACTCTCTCCAGTAGCTCCTCATCTTTCTTGAAGTGGGGAGCCCAGCACTGGACACAGTACTCCAGATGGGGCCTCACCAGGGCAGAGTAGAGGGGGAAGAGACCCTCCCTCGACCTGCTGCCCACACTCTTATTGATGCACCCCAGGTTCCCATTGGCCTTCTTGACAGCCAGGGCACGCTGCTGGCTCATGGTCACCCTGTCGTCCCCCAACGCTCCCAGTCCCTCTCCGCAGAGCTGCTCTCCAGCAGGTCCGCCCCAACCTGTACTGGTGCCTGGTGTTGTTCCTCCCCAGGTGCAGGACCCTGCCCTTGCCCTTGTTGAACCTCATCAGGTTCCTCTCTGCCCAACTCTCCATCCTGTCCAGGTCTCGCTGAATGGCAGCACAGCCTGCCGGTGTACCCACCACTCCTCCCAGTTTCGTGGCATTCCACCAAAGAGGACGGGGTGAGCACAGATGGAAAGAACAGTGTAGAAACATTTAGAAATACATGAAAAATTAAAGGTGGCCTTAAAATACCTACTTGATGCAGCCCCGTGCGCTCTTTGCTTTGCACAGCTGGTTATTGCGCCGTAATTTTTAAAGCGGTTCTCTTAGCGCTTCCCAGATCTGCAGTGCCGTGTATTTTCCTTGGGGAGAACATTAAATGAACACTGGCTTTCCTACTCCTATTGATTGTGGAGATGAGATTAAATTAAAACAAAGCAAGAAAACAGCTTTTGATTTCTTCCGCGAGGAATCTAATAAATTTTGTTCAATATGTTTTCATCTCATTTTCTTGCCTTCTGCATCATTGCTGTAAGAAGGCCCCAAGCCCCAGCAGAGACAGAGTCCCATCGTGTGTAGATCTACAGAAGTAGAAGGTAAAGGGTATTTGCTTTCCGTCCCCGACGTTTTCGTGTCTCCAGCATGAAGCCCATGAAGATTAGCAGCACTCAAGATAAACCAACTTGCTGCTATTTCTGAAGATTCAAGCTGAAGAGCCAAGACAGACATGACAGGAGGGGAGGAGGGTCTCCAGGAACACCGGGGATTTACAGGAGATCTCTTAGGCTATCCAGGGCGAAAATAAGAGCAGGATGCCGGATGCTTTGGTGCTGCCACCGCTCCTGGTCTCATGCCTGGTCGTTGGATCTGGGCTTTGTCTTATACCCTACAGGATCACAGAATCCCAGCATGGCAGGGGTTGGAAGGGACCTCTGGGGGTCATCTAGTCCAACTCCCCTGCCGAAGCAGGGTCACCCAGAGCAGGCTGCACAGGACCGCGGCCAGCCGGGGTTGGAATATCTCCAGAGAAGGAGACTCCACAGCCCCTCTGGGCAGCCTGGGCCAGGGCTCCGTCACCCTCAGAGGGAAGAAGTTCTTCCTCATGTTCATGTAAGATGTGGGGACCGGCATGGGGGTTGCAGCATTTGCTTTCCTGAGGAAGCTTGTTTGTGGTCATCTGGAGGATGAGGAAGAGCCAACAAACATAAATCCTAACGGCTCAAAACCCAAGAAGGTATAAAAATGGCTTTTGTATTTTTAAACCCGGTGGGTTTTGAGCGCTGGGAGTTTTCAAGCACGTTTCCCCTGGCACAAATTGCCCCAGATTCTGCTACTTTCTTACCTTTCAGTATGTCCAAAAAAGGAGAAAATCACATTAATTTTCCTGCACCTTTCCCATCGCTGTTTCCCCTTAAAATAAAAAGGACGGGTTTCCTTGCTGGAGGTCAGCACTTATCAAAGTTTATAAGATCAGAGTGGAAGACAGAGTAGAGCAGGGCTGGCTGCATCTTTTCGCATCCGAAGCTATTAAAGCTTCCTTGATAGAAACGGTATTTATCTGAAATGAAATTGTTCTGAAAATGGCCAGAACTTCCTTTCATAACAACAAAAGGTACCACAGTAAGCAAGATGCAGTCCTACCAAGCAGAAGTTCAACCCAAAAAAAGAGAAGGAAGACCTAAATAGACGGTTCGCTCCATCTGCCTGAAATAACTGTGAAGTCTTTCAATAATTGGCTGGGTGGAAAAGCTTACCCAAAGCTGCGGTTTTCCTGTGGTCTGAAAGTGGTCTGGTTTATTTCAGGCTTGTTTTTTACGTATAGACCTACTGTTGAAAATTTGGGTCTGAGTGAGAGAGAAGGGTTGCTTGCTGAATTTGGTAGCATGTGAGTGCTGGTGAGATCTCCGAGGGCACTGATGAAGTGTTTACTGCACGTAGCCACACAGGACTGTGTTTGTCATGGTTGTTGACTTGAGGACTATTATCAAGGACTACTGCGGCAGTTCATGTGATTCAGGACTTACCTGGGGGGGATTAACCAGCAGAAAAACCGCAGAAGAACCTCGTGGTGCCCCAAGAGGCTATCTTCTAGATCCCATCCCTAGCTGATGAGCAAGGGACTTCCCAACCCCATGGCACGCGCGCACAGCCATCGGCTACTGAGCTGTGTGCTGAGGAGGTGAAACCCCGTGTAGAAACACGGTTGAGAGAATTATAGGGAAAATACACTTGGTGTGGTCAAGAAGTGAGCTGGAGTTGGTTTAACACCCCTAGCCAGGCTGGTCAAGAGGCAAAGTGGGATCATCAAGCTTGAACGGGCAACGGCAGGACCCCGGAGCAATGAATATACCGGAAAAGAAATGGTTATCTTTTAATGAAGCGGAGAGTAGGCAGGGATATTTCTGATTTAAGATCTTCATCATTAATGTTCTGCTTGCAATCACTGGATCTGCAAATAACTTTCTGAGGAGCTTCGTGATTGCTAAAAGGCTGTATATATTCCTGAGTGTGATGACAACATAAGTTTTATGTAGCCTAAAAAAAAAAAATCTGCTAAGCTGCTGCTTATCCAACATTAACTACAGCAATTTTTAATTAACCTGATTTAGAAGCCAAAAATATCACTGATGAAAATGAGAGGGTAGAACATACAGTCATTTATTCCAGTACAGCGGTCATGATTGTTGAATTAGGTTTATTCAAATGAACCTCAAAATTTTGCCGCAGTAGTCGGCTGTGTGCCGGGTGCCAGGTTTTAGAAACCTGCGCGTAGTCGAAGAGCAGTGAGCTTTGGGGCACGCGAGGGAGAGATTGCGATGCGTTCGTCTTGCTGCTCAGAGAGGGGGAGGAAAGACCCGCGCTCGCTTTTATTTAACAAAGCCAACAAAATCAGATGGGGTGTGAATCGACTGCTGATTACCTCTTTGCAGCCTTTGCTGGCAACCAGCAGACAGTGTGAGTGGAGCTTGGCGTGGAAAGGCTCTCCAAGGGGAATTTCGTTGGGTTGGCTCAGCTCTGGGACGGTGGCCAACGAGATGCACAGATAAACCGGGGCAGCGGCCGTGGCGGTGAAGCACGGCAAAGCCAAACTCTCTGCCAGCAAAGGAAGATGAACGTGTCCCGTTCGGTCTGTGGGAGGGATTTATGCAGGAGCGCGTAAGAAGGGATGGAGTTATTCGAGTGTTACCGTTTTCAGGTGGGAAGACTTCCAACTGGAATGGAAGCAAGGCAATAAACAAAAGCAAAATGGAGCAGACCGAGGTGCGGAGGTTGTCTGTGGTCTTGGTGGAGGACAAGAACTTCTGATGAAGTAAAGAGTTTGGTGCAAGACATCTGCGCTGTGTGCGGGTGCACCCAGGGACTTGGGTCCACAGTGTACGGTGGTTTCCCATCCGGGTGGCCAAGCCTCTGCACAGCTGACTGCTCAGATGATTTCCCCTGAACCTCCCTATGACCAATCCGAGTGAAGATGATGAAAACTGAAGGTGCTCTGCGACCTTTTCTGAAGTGCCCGCTAAAAGCTCAGGCAGCTTCAGAGGGTACGAGCTGCCATGCGTGTTCCTTCCAGGTGGCCTGGTAGGTAATCGGGTCCCCCCCCAGGGACAGCAGCTGTGCAGCCATGGGTGAATACAAGGGCTGGCATGTTTTCATGCGACGTCTCTACCTTCCCTTTAGCAAGAAGCTCTGGTTAGTGGAAGCGCTGAGCACCGAGGACTCGGGCTGGGTGCTGATCTCTGCTGTTAGAACGCAAAGCGCTACGATGATCGAGCTGCGACGGCTGCAAGCAGCCGAGGAAAACCTTTCAAATCCAGCTCTGCAGGCAGGCAGCTTTTCGTAGCTGAATTCTGCATTCAGTGCACATGTTTTCTCAGTGGTTTCCTTCAAAGCGCGTTGATCGTTCCTGCCTTCTGCATTCTGGTGATCGTCCTCGTTTTCTAGAGGAAGGAGGATGAAATATTGATGATGTCACGTGTAAGTCTGTAGGGCACAGTCGCGGTCCTCCCTGTACCCCAGCCAACTGAGAAGACATCTGTGTTTTACCTCTCAGCTGTGCTGCTGGCCTCTTTGCTGGCACGGGTTGTTTATTGCTTCCCAGGGATGTGGTCCTCGTCTCTCTCTCCCTTTTGACAGAAGCGTAATTTCTCTTTTATTTTCTCGTTGCAGGTTATCCGACGGGCTACCCCACCGCTGCCCCAGCCTACAACCCCAACATGTATCCAACCAGCAGCCCCGGCTACGCCCCAGGTAAAAATCTGTCTGTGGAGGCGAGATCGGGCGTGTTGAAGCACGCAGGAGGATTTACCGTTTGCTGCTCGGCGTACAAACCCCAGCAGTTTCGTCTGCTTGTCAGCAAATAATTCCCAGGGAAGGGGCCTGTGTTAAGCTCTTCCCTTCCTAACTCTGCCGTTAACTTCTCCGCTGGGAATATTTGACTGTGCTGCAAAGTACTTTTCAGCCATGAATTATATCTTAATACTAATCCTAGGAATTTTACAACCCTCGTCGCTGTGATACCTGCACATTGATGGCTTTGAATATTTTTCTGAATACTGCCTGCTATGTCCCCTAGATTGCCTTCCCCTTCCCCCTGCCTGTCCTCTCCTCCTGCCATGTCGTAGATGCAGAAATTTCAGCAACCGTGTCCTGTTTGGTGTCTGGATCTCCCATGCCATGTCTTTACTGTCCCCCACTTTTCCACTGGGTCTGTCCGAGTGTCTTTTTCTGTCCAGCTCCTGCCCTTCACACCACCCTAAAAGGGCTCTTCCAAAGATGCAGGGAGCTCTTCCTGGCCAAACTCAGGAACTCTTCTGCCTTAGCCTTGGTGTGGTGGTTATCTTTGACAGCACTGGCTGTACTCTTCTCCATAAAATCTTGTTTTCCCTTGGCTTTCCCAGTTTGGCCAGTTGTTTTCTACCTCTGCTGCAGCATGTCCATTGGGACGTATTTGTCATCTGCCTCTTCCAGCTTTCCATGAAAGCTTGGCCGGGCTCTGTCCTTTATTCTCTTCTCCACTACTCCCCATGTATCTCTGGGAAAGCTTATTTGGAGTACAAGGTCTTCCTTTTTCAGAGAAGTCTTCATTTTTCACACCAGCCGCATGCCCTTTTGCATCCTCCTTTGCAGTTCCTCTGAACCATCCTGCCAGCCAGGCGGATGGGTAACGCGTTCCTCCTCTGTGGCTTAGCCCCTACCCTGGAGCCCTGCTCTCTCTGCCGTCTCCAACCTTGGCAAATTCTCCTCCATCCTTTTGAAGACCTGGTACAAAATTAATTTTCCCAGTCCGCTGCTTTAACCGTGTCATCCCCCTGTTTGCCTCCCCCTTGCTCGTATCCAGCACAGACTACTTGTCTTTATTTACAGAAGAAACACCCCCTCAGAATCACAGAATCACAGAATCACAGAATAGTAGGGGTTGGAAGGGACCTCTGTGGGTCATCTAGTCCAACCCTCCTGCCGAAGCAGGGTCACCTACAGCAAGCTGCACAGGACCTTGTCCAGGCAGGTCTTGAATATCTCCACAGAAGGAGACTCCACAACCTCCCTGGGCAGCCTCGGCCAGGGCTCCGTCACCCTCAGAGGGAAGAAGTTCTTCCTCATGTTCAGACGGAACTTCCTGTGCCTCAGTTTGTGCCCATTGCCCCTTGTCCTGTCACTGGGCACCACTGAAAAGAGCTTGGCCCCATCCTCCTGACACCCACCCTTCAGATATTTGTAGGCATTTATAAGGTCCCCTCGCAGCCTTCTCTTCCTCAGGCTGAACAAGCCCAGTTCCCTCAACCTCTCCTCGTAGGGGAGATGCTCCAGTCCCCTCACCATCCTCGTAGCCCTAAAGTCAAAAATTTGCAGTGCTGTATGCTCCTTGCATGCCCCTATGAGAGGGTGTGAGGCATAACCAGGACAGAAGTTTGGGCACCTCTATGCTGCTACATAAGAACTAGGAAGAAAAGATGACTGAAGGGTAACGGTCTGCTCACTTTTTCGAGTTTGTTAAATTAGAAGGGGAAACGTCCCTCCCATCTACATTACAGCAAACTGAGTTTGCTGTTTTACCGGATTGCTGTTAGCAAGACTTACAGCAAATCTTGTTGCATAATGTTTTTTTACAGGGTGGATTTGTAATGAATGAACTTCATGGTGTGTATCTACCACACCTCCCAGTTTGGTGTCATCAGCAAACTTGCTGAGGGTACATTCCCTCCATTCCCTCTTAGTGTCCAGAGCCTTACCGCTCTTTTGGCTCAGCCAGTGATGTCTGTCCTCTTCACCTTTCCAAGCAAGCATCTCCCTCATCCCTGCTGCTTCTCTCTTCTCATCGCCAACAACGCCGTTTCTCATTTGAATTCCTCCATTAGCCGTGGGGTTTTTTTTGACAAAAGCCCATGACTAGACTGCCGAGCTCCTTCCCTTGCCTGCTGCTGAGCACCATTCGTCCGCACCTCCCTTCTGTCTGTTTTCTGCTGTTGTCTCTTGACCAAACACATGCCCAGCCCATGGCTCCGGTTACGCTGCTCTGTGGATGCAGAGGATGGTCTGGATGGAGGAGGATGCACCCATGTCTAGGACCTTCCTGCCTGGCCAGAGAGAGATGGAGAGGAGGAAGCCATCAGAGCTCGTGGGTGGCATGGCTACAAACCCCCGGTCATGTCCTGTCCATCGCTTTGAGGTTGAACACCTCATCTACATGAGATGGGGAGATGGAGAGCTGCCAATGGCAGAAGATTCGTATAGGTTGGGACAGAAAGTAAATTAATCATGGGAGCTGCTGTTAAATAAGTGCCAGCAAGGACACTTCTTATACCAGAAGTGGACCTTCCTCTGTTTTTAAGTCAGAGAAATTACTCCGAAGCAGGAGTCATGGAGTAATTCCCACCTGTCCACAAGGAGTTGTCTTCACTACAGCACGGACTAATGAGGTTCAGTGCTTAATGAGGAATATTTGAGTTGCTCTGCTGAATCAGTCACTGGCTTTTTTATGCTTTATAGCCCAAGCTTTATAGAAGTCTTTTTCTTTTTGGAGTTGAAGACTGCTAGTAGGCCCCCACTCAGGAAATAGTTTAACTGAAGTCAAACCTACATTGAAGTACTTCACTGAAACCAGCCCTCTGGAAGCACCAAGCGACCTTCAGTTTTTAAAGTGTGGTTGAGTTCTCTGCTTCCAACCAAGTTACCTGGGGGACGAGAGCCTCTTGGCATGACAAAGGGTGGTAGAAACCCAAGGACTAAGTAGCAGTTTCAAAATGTAACTCTTATCTGGAGCGAATTAGGTGGGAGGTAGAATAAAAAAAGGGGATCTGCTATTTAATAGCTATCTTGAGATCTCGTTGCCCAGAGAAGCTGTGGCTGTCCCCTCCCTGGCAGGGTTCAAGGCCAGGTTGGATGGAGCTCTGAGCAACCTGGTCTGGTGGAAGATGTCCGTGCCTATGGCAGGGGGTTTGGAACCGGGTGATCTATAAGGTCCCTTCCAACCCAAACCCTTCTGATCACAGAACACTATTTATTAGCTGTCGGTTTTTTAGGCTGTAGTGTGTTGTCAGAGCGTTGTCTTTGACGGATGCGGTCACACAGGTCAAATGCAAGAATTGGCGGTGACTGAACTGTGATTGGAAAAGCGTTTCTAAAGTCAGGAGTGAGCCTTTTTTCATTATTTTTATGAAAAAGGCCTGAAAAAATCTCTTGCTTACCCGTTTCCAAGCACACATTGGAGACGAAAAATAATATCTCGCCCTTCGTTTTGACTTCGTGGCTTTTCGGTTGGCTGAGATATTTATTCTGAATGGCTTGCCTCAGAAGAGCTGTGGGGTTTTAAAACTTCTGAATAAAGCCGTCTTTTCAGCTGAGTGTTCAGTAGTCATCGGGGTGAAATAGATGCTTGCGTAATGAACACAAAGCTGGACTTTGTGGCAGTCTTGCTAAACCCTTTCTCCTCTGAATTGCCAAGTTTTCAGTCTCCCGGTTGTCATAAAATCAGTGGATCCCCGCGCTCGGGAGCTTTCCAGGGCTGACGAAGCAGGAACGAGAGTTTTGTTGCCAAAAACTTTCGGTGTTGTCTTCTCCACATCGCAGTTCAAATTCACTGTTTTTTTGCAAGGTTATTAAATAAAGCCATTTACTGCAGGTGACTCTGTAAGGGGTCTGTTGTGTTTTTTTTGGCTTTATGTGCTTCTGGTGGGGTCTTTCTCCCCAGAAGAAGGAAGGGTAGGCTCTGCATTTCTTCCCACTGAAAATCTTACCTATAGTACGAAGCAAGTTTTGTTCCCTGAGATGTGTGCTGGCCACCCACAATTTCCCCTGAAGGATGTAACGCTGAAAGAGTAAAATGAAAAGAGCTCCACGGCATAAAAACACTCCACAAATTTATTAGTGGCTTGTCCTGCCAGAGGCTGGCTTCCTCCTCCCTGCTCAGCCAGGGACGTAAATACAGCAGCGTTCCCGCAGATTGGCCTGGACATTATAGAATGTCTCTTGTCCCCAGCCACTGCCTGTGCCTGGAGATGGCCAAGGGGACACCCAAGTGAAAGGCAGCACCAAATCTCTGCAGGACCAGGAATTTTGGGGGGGGTGTGTTGCTTCTTGTACCTCTCCAACACCATCCTTGGGAGGCTGGCGTTCCTATTAGAGAACAAATTGAAACAACCCCCAGAAATGCTGTGTTGCTATCCAAACAAAATACTTTTCTTTGCAAAATCTTGATGAAATCCACGCATTCCCTTGGAAGGATTTTATTTCAGCTCAGTTTAATTTTCCAAATTAAAAATCATAAGGAAAAAAAAACAGGAGATTTTCAAGTATTTTAAACAGCTGCAGCAATTGCCACACTTAGGTAAGATTTGGTTCCCCTTAGCGGCGTAGACCTTTGGTCTCTAACCCTTCCAGCCCAGGTTCCTCTGTATTCAGTGGAGAGGAAGAGTGACCTCCCCGGAGAGACATTTAGCCCAGCTTTGGGGACGGACTCCCCATGGGTGCCTGTCTGTCCTACCAGGAGAGCTGGAGATGAATCCTGCCTGGGGTGTCCTTCATGCTCATGAGGAACAGGAGCCCAAGGAGGGGTTTGTAGATGCTCTCTGAAGTCGCTCTGATCCGTAGTCAAGATACCCTCAGAGGAGACCTCTAGGATGATGTTCTATGGAATTGCTTTCTTGGCATAGGTTAGGACAGTAGGAACAGATTGAGAAATGGGACCCACCTGGCCTGTAAGGGCGTAGATCCCGGAGTGGGCTGGAGGACAAGCCTCCTTCTCTTGGACA